GCAGAGAACCAAACAGCAGTAACAAACAGTTGTCGAACATCTAGCAGACAAGTAAATCAAAACGCCATAAAAATCTCCAAAGTTGATCAACATCATTTTTTATTATCACAGCGTGAATTGAAATGTCCCCAACACCTAATAGCACTTTTGGAAGACTGTTCAAGCTGAATTGAGTTTCCTTTTAAACCATCATCACCATCAATAACAACAACAACAACACCACAAACGACAACCACAACACCACCAGCAACAACAACAACAAAACAACAACTAACAACAACAACAAACAACAACGACAAACAACAACAACAAACCACAACAACAACAAACCACAACAACAGTAGCAACAAACAACAACAACAAACCACAACAACAACAACAACAATAAAAACACAAATAACAACAACAAACAACAACAACAAACTTGTTTCAACACAAATTGTTCCCTTAACAACTTCGGTCTTTCCCTATTGGAACCAGGCGTCTCAACCTCGAAAGGGTCGCCACCGTTATTGTCTTGGTAAGCCACAAAGTAGAGGATTTCAGTTAGTAAGTTTGTCGTCAGGCTTGAAGATGAATCATTCAAATTAGTCAACATCATCTTCATCATTGTCGTCGTCATCATCATCTTCATCATCGTCGTCATCTTCATCTACGTCATTATCAACTTAATGACGTCATTTCAAAAAACATGAAAATGCCGAAAAATTAAAATTTATGAAATAAAAAAATTCGTCAAAGAAAAGAATGAAGTCAGAAAAAGGAATAAAACAAAATGGCGACTTGATCAATTTTCAGCATTTATATTTGACCTACTTTATAAACATCCTATTGGCCGAGGTCTCGAGTTCGAGGGCGTACCTACTTAATTCCTTGCTGGCATCCGTGGCGAAATCTAGGTCTCTGACCTAGTTTTTTATGATAATGATGATGATGATGATGATAATGATGATGATGGTGATGATGAAGAAGATGATGTTGTTGTTAAGGATGATGATGTTGTTGATGTTGGTGTAGTTGTTTTTATTGATGTACATTCATAATCGTCATAAACATCGTCGTCCTCATCACCACTACCACCATTGTCACCACCATCATTATCATCATCATCATCATAATCATCATCATCATCATAATCATCATCATTGTCGTCGTCGTCATCGTCATCATCACCTCTTGAGCTGGTACGGGGACCAATGCGAATGCTTCCTTATCATCTTTCTCAGCAAAGCATCCAACCTTTATATTATAATTATCATAATTATTTTAATTATAATTATTTTCATTATCGGTCAGACCTAGCTTCATCGCGTGAATACAAACGCCAGAAATATAAAAACTTGAAATTGAACTTAAATTCAGTCTGTAATAACTGTTCGTTAATTATTAACTCATTTGAAATATCACCTGTGGGTTTTTATAACAATTTTAATCTAACTCTGTTTAAAATATTATGGCAGAAACCTTTTAATGGAAGAGTTATTAACGCGCTAACTCGCCGGTCATATAGCATACATTGTGACAGGAACACTACTTGACCGATTTTAAATATATTTTTTTACTCTCGAGCACTTGTTGATCAAAGAGCATGGGAGGATCGTACAG